ATATGAATATTTTCTCTGTAGCCCTCCCACCTCCATATTAAAATCCAAGCTTACTGAGTATAAAGACTTGTCTTTTATTTTATTGCTGTTATCACCAGTAATTAAGAACACTGCCTGGCTCCATAACTACCTGCTGAATTAAATAGATGAGAACCAACCTGAATACGATAGGAGTCAAACAGGCAGAGAAGACAGATAGTTAAGAGCACAATAGGTATTGTGACAATGTATAAGGCAGGCTCAGGGGACTAGTCTGTCAGGTTATACCAGACTTCAAAAGATAACTCAGTGTCAGGCAAAAGAACGTTAGTTTCATTCTGTAACAGACTACTGATTGCTTTTAACTAGAGATACGAAAAGTAAAATCAATGTGGCAATACAGTGTAGGATGGACCAACAGGGAAAATGAGAAAGCAAGGAAACTAAGATGTTCTAACTGGCCAAGCATGAAGTGGTAAGGTTAGTGAATTCGAATGTCTGAATTCACCAGCCTATCTCCCTACTTTGTGCCTGCTTTTCATGACTACCCTTCTGACCCCATCGACCATCATCAGTCCGAAGTACCTGGAGTGGGACATTAAGCACCATCAGGAAAGGTACTTACTGGTTTGCTGAGGTTTTGTTTTTTCTTTAAGATCTGTTTTATACTATTCCATATTTAGAGAATAAATATACAAATCTAGTTGAGACGTTACCTTAAAATTGTTTTAAATCTCAAATTGTAGAGGAATATATAATTCAAAACACCAAACAAATCTAAACAATTCTTCAAGAACCGGCATGAGATCAGGACGAAATGAAGTAAAAGTTTAAAAATGATTTAAGAAGAACACCTTAGTGTTTGTCCTGTATTTCAGTTGTTGGTGCTATGGAACACCACTGCTGTGATATTAGTAATGGTTAGTACATTAGGCTATTTCTAGAAAATTATATTTCTCACCTATCCATTTCATTTATTTAATATGAGTCCCTCAGCTTTGCCTGCTACTATAACAATGCTGTGATAGAATACCCATTCAAAATTCTATATAGGCTGTGGATTTAATACTCTTCTGCCACAAACAGTATTTGTATTTGACAACTGTAAAGTCTACCAACCCAGTAAGTGTATAATAAAAAAGTCAAAACTTTGACATAGTACCCCATGACAGATGTAAGAGAAACAATGTTATTTAACAGGAATAATGAACCACAATTACCATTCACATTTCATACTCACTGCCTGCATGGCTTGAAAGGGTGCTGTGTTAATGGTTACTGAACTACTACTTGCTGGAGGTGACTGGAAGCTCTGTTCAGAGCCCACTGACATGGAAGGATTTGGAGACGCTAATGAAGATGGTTGCTTGCTTGGGGGAACTGCTGCCTGGGGAGGACAAATGCAACGTCAGCCAATCACCTGCCATATAACAAGCAGTTAACTCACACTAAACACCAGACTGTCATAAGTCAGCAAGTTCTACAGGATGACATCTGGACACAGGAATGCAAAAGAATAGCTTTTGCTTACAATTTCAAATCTCATTTGCTGAGGATGCATACCAGTATTTGCTTTGCACAGCTTGCTGACTAAGTGAAAGTCTTACTAATCAGAGTTCAACAGATGAGGGGCTGAACCTTTTATGAGCACCTAATGCTTTTCCAACCCTGCAATGTTATTTTTCAGTTAAGAATCTAATATTATTCCAAATTTATACAACAGAATTGGGCTTAAGAAAAACCTTGGGTTAGCTGCTTAGTAAATATTAATTTTTCCCAATTTTAAAGTCTTATTAGTAAATTCTAAATCACCTACGAAACTCAAGCTAATTTAAATAAGCCTTATCTAAAGGAACAGATTATAAAGTCAAAGGTTTAAAAAGACACCAAAAATCAATCCCAATCAGATTATAAAGCAGACAGCTGTGAGTCCCTTGGTAACAATCACTTCTTAAGATGGGGAACCAAGTAATTTCGGTTTAGACTACGTCAGCATCATAAAAACTAATGTTTATCTATATTTTCTCATTTCCAATAATGAATACATATTCTTGTATAATAGTCAGGGAGAAAAAAACCCCTAAGAGTTGCTCTATTTATCCCAAAAAAATTACCTTACTAATATTTTAGTTTTTTGTAATAAATACATATGCTTGTATAAAAGTTACCAATGGGGTGGGAGACCAGGAGTTGCTAAATTTATCCAAAAATAAATTTTATCTTACAACCTCAAGGATTTGCTCAAACTTAGCAAAAGTTGCCACTTAGGACTGTAACCCAAACCTACTGCCGTCAAGTCAATTCCAACTCACAGCAACCCTATAAGGACAGAGTAGAACAGCCTCATAGGGTTTCCAAGGCTACAGATCT